CCACCTACACTAGAATATTCTGAACTGGAAAACATTCAAATCAACCTTTGATGTGTCTTTTTTATGAACCCTAGGATTAAGTTGAGGTTGGCTAAGCATCAAAATATATACATACACTACATGCTAAGGAACATTGCAGGTTTTATCTGAACAGTTGGATGTCTTATGTGACCAATACATAATGCTTGTGTCCAGGAGAGAATAAATATTTAATATTCCATAGGAAAATGAAAATCTTCCACCTCCATAAATACAAAAACAATGCAAGCAGTTCTATACTAAGCCTGTCTAAAATGAGTTATTAGACACAGTTGCACTGAGCATATAATGCAAAGTGACAAGGATTTAGGTAACAGCATTAGGGATTCATACACACACACACACACACACACACACATATATATATACATATATATATACATATATATATATATATATATATATAATCTCTTAAATCATTTTAGTTAGGGTTGATCTGGTTGGATTATACTATAAAGATTTAAATTGGGCATTTCTTTTAATTTGACATGACATTTTTTTAACTCCATGACATATTTTCTTCACTTTTATTCTTAAACTGCAAGGTGAACACATTTAATCAAATCAACACACTCTACTACAACTTGAATAAAACTTAAAAACAAATGCAGAGTGATTCTTTACACTGATAACAAATTGGTAAAGGTGTTATATACTGTTAATATCTTTCGCTCTGCCATGTTCTGAAGTTGTTGATGTAGAACTAAGTAGCAAACAACGAGGGTAAACATCAGTACCATTTTTATTTATTTATTTTTTTGTTTGCTTTGCTTTTCGCTTTCAGACCAGAAAGTTCATCGGGTAAAATGTGTGGCCCTGTGTAGTAAATAGTGATACCATGAACACAGTGCCGGTGGTGTTAGTGAGCCTGAGTGGGTTCTGCATGTTTTAAAACACTCAACTATTATAAATTATAATCATATGTGTTTTGGGAATACTTCATAGCTGCCAGGAATTTATTCATTTATTTTTTTATTCTGCCTTTTTTCTTACTCAGGGTCATGAACATGACAAATAAAGAAACTCTTTCCTTCATACTATTATTAAAAACTAATCTAGCATGCATTTTTTGGAGAGTTAAACAGAGAACACATAAGGTAATAAAAAGCCAAACTTCCACAAATTCAAATTTATTTTAATTTTCTCCAATTCAACATATTATCATCTAATTTAGCAGATGTATGCTCTGTTGGACAGCTTAGCCATCTGATTTGTTTGTTTAAGTGTTCCCTATAAGAGCAGAAATATAGTTTTGAAAGGACTCAACTGATAAGCGATCTCTCCAAAATGAAAGTTAGATTTAATATTTTGGAATTATTATCCAATTTTAGATTTTCTTAATATAACTAATTTGTTTGACAGAATGTGAGTTGTTTTTTCTTCCGTCATTTCAGTCCACACTCCAAATCAAGGGAGGTGGTTTAATAAAATTCATTCCAGACAGAAGAAGAAAGGCTAAAACAGCTCAGAATATGATCGGAGTCAGAAGAGGACAAATATCCAGTGAGGGCAAAGCAAGCACAGGAACTTGGAATGATTCTCATACGGGCAATAAGCAGATGACATACTGGCAGGGAAATAATGAGATAGGCAGGTATAAATAGGCTAAGTAAGAGCTGGGAGGAACGAAGGTGATTGGGAGAGTGGCGAGGTACTTCTGGTTACATTAACTAGCAGACTACATGAGCAGGGAATAGGGAATGCCAGCAAACCCCCCCAAAAAACAAAAGAAACCGTCAAACTGCAGGTCTGGTGTCTGTCTCTCTCTCTTCTCTGCAGGGTGTGATGGGCAGGTGCAGCTCATCTCTGTTAATTTTGAAGTCTACTTAAGGAGCTGGGACCAGGATGAGGGCGTCAGTTCTTTCTCACTACCAACGTGGTATATGACCGACCAGCTTTCTCCTAGATTTCTATTCAAGCCAGATCTAATCCCGTGTCTCTGTTTTTTCCCTCCTAGCAACCAACCAAGCCAGTTTGCTGCAGCCCTCCTCCAGGAGCCCACCGCCTGTCCACCCTCCTACAAACCATCACCTAAAGGGTAGAGTCTCAGTTTGCTCTTGGACCCAGGACACAATCCTTCCAAGCTCAAAACAACCTCAAGCCCTGTGAGTTCAGCATCCTCCACCTTCCCACCACCTCAGATCAGTTGTTCACCATCACCCAATCTGTCCCTAGGCTTTACCAGGAAGATCCTGCCAAACTCAATTTTCTGTTCTCTGTTTAATAAAGTTTTCCTTAACTAAACTAACTGTCTCCGTGGTTGCCCTGATTCAGAGTCGTTCTTCTCTCATTATGACAGAAACAGGCACAATTCATGACCAAACTCAAACTAGTCAAATGATATCAAAATCAGTGGAGAAGAAGTGGAATTGGTGGTGGAGTATGAATACCTGGACAACAGATGAGACTTGAGATGAAACTGTTAAGACGTCTGCAGGAAGGGAAAAAACAGACTGTACTTCTCAAGGAAGCTTAGGTCCTTCAGTATTTTTTTATCAGTCTATTGTGACTGTGATCTCTTCTGCCATCA